GACACAGCTCCCTGCCGAGCCCCTTACACACTTCACCTGGTGGAGTATCTCCCACGACACAGCTCCCTGCTGAGCCCCTTACACGCTTCACCTGGTGGAGTACCGCCTATAACACAAGCAGGTATTGTCCTCTGTGGGGCAGGTTCTGCCCTTGGCTCAAGGCCAGCCTGTAAGAGACAGCTGGATCTCAGCCAGCTCTGCCCAGCTTCTACGTGGTGCTTCCAATTCCTCCAATTCCCTGCCACCTGTGGTCCTGGAGCTTGGGACAGGAAACACTCTAGAAGCCTGGAGGGCATTCTGTGGGAAGGCCACCGAGTTGAGGGGCAGGGGTGCTGAGCCTCCCAAGGGTCCTACTGGCGGGGGGCACATACCTGGCGTCGTGGACACCCGGCTCTGTGTGCGTTATCTGGGGTGGTGGGGCCCTTTGACTCAGATGGTCGGTGGAGTAAGGCAGCAGCCACCTAGGGCCACCAGCTGGGTGCCACGTTTTCCTTTCCCGTGAGTACCCTCAGGGTACTGCTGGGACACCTGCAGTCAGCAGCTCCCCTGCCTGGATCCCCAGAGTGCTCTGAGTCCGTCTCCCATGACTGCCTGAGGATCCCCACTTTTCCCAGGAGCATGTGACAGTGTCACCTGTGCTTCAGTGGGCCTGGGGCCAGCATGACAGGTCCCCAGAGTTATGCCTGAGCCCTGGACTCACAGGCGATGATGCAGGGCCTCGGATTCCCTGCCCCCAACCTGGGCAGCATGCCTGAGGACCACGGCTGTGCTCAGCTGGTGTTACCCTGGGAGAGCCCTGCCTGGGCCTGCTTGTGCCAGCGACATTCAGAGGTTTTAGGGGGACAGCTCTGGAGGCTCCCACCATGGCCCTGTCCTCCCTCCCATCCAGACAGGACTCCCCGGGGGTGCTGGGAGGTAGATCCTTACCACAGATGCTAGGTGGGCAGACACCCTCCCCTCCAACCACTGACGCCTCGTTCCTGGGTCCAGACTAGTGCTGGACTCCACCACCCCACGCCTCATTTATCAGGAGTGTACTGGGGATCCACTGCTGGGCAAGAGACTTCACACGTATCCCCACCTTTAATCCCCAAACCTGCTAGAGGTGTTCACGTTCCCGGTGAGGAAACAGGTTCCATGCAGACACGCTGCGGCTCTCAGCTTACCAGGTGCTGCCCTGGACTCTCCCAAGAGGACCCTCAGTGCCCACCAGACAGGTAGACGGGTCTGGACCCCATGCATGGCTGTCCCAGGGGCTCACCTGGCCAGGCCTCCCCTGCCTCCAGTGCTGACACACCTCCTAACTTGACCTAGAAGTAGACAGGATCCACGCAACCTCAACTCCAACCCTCTCCAAGGGCTCTCTGGGGATGCTCTCCCCGCACTGAACGGAGTTCCACGGCCCTTCCTGTCTGCTGCCTCTCCCTTCCCGAGGCAGGTGGAAAGGGGAGCCACGAGCCGGCTCCGTACACCATCTGCTGTCCCTTTCGGTGAGGGCAGAAATCCGTCTGCCATGGTGAAGGGAGCCTCGGTCCAAGGCTGGGTCCTCAGTGAAAGCTAGATCCCCGACGGGCCCAGGGCTGAGTAAGGCTAGTCCCCAGCCGCCGACACCCTGTTCATCTGGTTCTGGCCAGAGCTGATGATGGCAGCCGAACACTCCTAGTTCCCACCTCCCTCCCGCCACGACTCCAGGCACAACCCCAAGGTGCCTGCAGAGCCCCTCAGCATCTGTGCCTCCAGCCCCGCTTGTCCTGCAATGGGTCTACTTCTTATGGAAATCTCTAGAATTGAGTCTGCTCCATCAAGGAGGAGCAGCTACACAACCTGGGCCTCTTTTCTGGAGCCTCCGCCCCTGCAGCCCAGTCCTCCACAGTGGCTTTGGCAGGTGGGCAGGGGCCGGCACCCCCTGGGCCTGAGTGCTGCTGCTGTGAATACCTACCCCTCAATGGCCCCCGGGCCCAGGCTCACACTGCTCCTCAGTAACACAAGGACAGCACCGTCTCAGAGGGGCACAGAGGGGTGCCCAGAGACCTGGCCTCGGCTGGATTCTTGTCCCAAGCCGTCAATCATGATCACTGGCCCCTTCTTATAGCTGTCAGGTGAATGGCAAGAGGATTCCAGGGACTTCTACATGCTCTGTGGCAGATCCCAGCGTCCTCAGGGAGCCTGGAGTCTGGAGGCCAAACATCATGCCAAGGGCCAGGGGCTGCTTGGGAGGCACCCAGAGGCTGGGGCCAGGCTGCAGGTGGGGTGTCCCCTTTGCCTCCACCCCTCAGCTGGCACCTCTAGCCCACACCAAGAGGAGCGGAAGTGGCCAGACAGGGCCAGCCCCAGGGCTGCTTTCCCACAGTGAAGACCATTTTGAGGCTGTGTCTCTGGGACAGGGAGGCAGGGACAGAGGATGGCGATCAGCTCTCGGAGCCTGTGAGGATGGTGCCACCCCCGATCCTAGCCCCTCCAGGTGCAGAGCCTGGCACCCAATGCCTCAGGCATCAGTGCCACCCTGTCTGGCCCCTGGCCCCAAAGCCCAGACTGCCCCTGTGTGCTGCCCCCCCCACCCTCGGCCCCCTCCAGGCTGAGACAAGTTTCTCTGCTCCCTCTTCCCAGAACAGGATGGAGGATGGGCAAGACCGGGTTCAGGGGTCATGGCTGGCAGTGAGCAGGTGCTAGAGTCCAGCTACCCCAGCTAGGACCCCTCCGCGTCAGGGCAGGGGACCCCAGCTAGGACCCCTCCGCGTCAGGGCAGACGTGACTCAGTATGGCTGTTGCTGCTTTGCAAATGAATCCTGATTTTGCAAATACATTTTATGGTAACGAGATCAATAAAAATAAACAAATAAAATTTAAAATGAACCCCGAGAAGGAAAAGAGAACCAAGTTCTATGTACTGCAAGGGGCGGGCGGCGCAGAGGCTGTAGGCGTCGTGCAGGCGCAGCTGTGGCCCACGTGGCCCTGGTGCTCTGAATCCCTCCGTGGGCTCCAGGAGAGCTGGACCACGCACTCCCAGGATCCGACACTTGGGCCCGCAGAGATCTGTCCTCTGAGGGACCACGACCACCGCTGAACAGCCGATGATGGGGCGAACGGGGGCCGTGGTCACCTCTGCCTCAGCTGGCGCTGGGCTGCGCTGCAGCGTCCCCATGAGGCGGTACGGTCAGCCTGTCTGTGGGGACTGGACGCGCTACCTGCGACTGAGGCGAGGTTCCTCTAAGTCCCTGGAACACCCCCAGGGGTGGTCACTGTCCGGAGGCCAGAACGGGGTGGCCAGTGGCCTCTGCATCTTCATGGCACCCAGTTCCACTCTACTGCCAGTCCTTGCCCTACTGCTCCTGAGAGCCTGGCCTCGGGGCTGTCCTGGGGTCCAGGCTGTGGCCCTCTGAGGGCTGGCCCTCACCTGCGGACTCTCCAGAGTCTCCTCTGGGGCATGCCTTTGGCCTCTGCGCCTTCAGGCTCCTGTGAGGACATTGGGAAAGGGACAGCATCAGAAGCTAGCGTCCACCTGAAGCCCCCTCACTCCTCAGGCGGGGTCTGGGAACTGGACCCTCAGGGCCAGTGAGAGGCCCTGGGCAGAGGGCTGGGGAGAGCACACCGCTCACACGTAAATCTCGCATTCAAGCTGGCCGGTCCCCAACTCCGGAAGAGCTTGGGGGTCCCTGCCACCTGCTCCCTCAGTTCTCAGAGCAGCCTAGGAAGGCCTGGGAACAGCCCCTGGCTTAGAGGGAAAATGAGCACAAAGGAAGCACCGCGCTTCGGTAACTAATTGTGGTGGAGGGCAGGTCGAATTCCAGGCCTGGTGCCTCCTGGGATCTTTGCCCAGAGAGTACAGGGTGCTCTCTCAGCGTGGAGGCTCAGATGCCAAGCCTGGAATCCAAACTGCTGACTGAATTCTGCTTTGCTCCTTTATCAGTGCTCAGTGCCCCGGCTTTCTCATCTGTGGAGTGGGGTCACAGTGCCCGTCTCACAGCAAGGCTGCCATCAGGATCAAATCGTCTGCAATGGTTTTAAGACACAGCCTATACTGCTAGCTGTGACCGAGCCAGGCAGTGTCACTCTATTCTACAAGAACCAGCGGGACAAGAATGAGATGAGGAAGCTGAGGCTTAAAGAGTACAAACACGGTGGCTGGGTCACATGTGACTGCAAGGCCACGCCTTTTCTGCAGAGACCTCGTCCTGGTGCCTCACAGGCTGCAGGGAATGAGGAGGGCTGGGGCTGGCCGTGTTGGGAGGTAGGGCTTGGACCAGATGGGCCACAGTCCCAGGGTTTCGGGGTGGAGGCAGTGGTGTTTCTGGAGAGTTCCCACGCGAACAGAAGTCCACCCCATTCCACCCTCACCCCTCTTTGAAGACCTCCCGTGTCCCCTGCCTGTCCTGGCCCTGCACTGCCTGTCCTGAGCCACGGCACTGCAATAGTGAGGGGGGGCCATCAGAAACAGCCTCACGTGGGTGTCTGTGAGATGCTTCCTTCATGCCCCAGCCTCCTCAGGCGCTCACCTTGGTGCGGGGGGTCCAGGGTGTCCCAGGGCCTTGCGGATGTGCTCTCGGGAGCAGAAGTCAGCCTGGAGGAGACAGAAGTGCTGCTGGGTCCTGAGCTGGCCTCTGGACCAGTGCCCCACTAGGAGCTACTGGTGGCAATGCCTCCATCCCCCACGGAAGCCCCCGGGACACACAGGTCACCGCCAGCTTTCCGGGCTCAGGAGCGGCGGCCCCACCAGTGAGTGTGTGACAGGGATGCCTGAACTGAGTCTAGGCCCTGGAGTGGCGGTTCTCAAACCCATCCGGGCAGTCTCTGAAGGGCCTAAGGAGCCGCCAGCAGATGGGCTGAGCGAGGGGCCCTGGGTCTCCTCCCCACCAGGGGCAGTTGGGGCTGCTCAGTCTTCACTGGTTTACAGCCTGCACTTCCCGTAGGCTCTGTGTAACCCGAGGTTTCCCTGCTAACGCTCGCTTCCCTGGGACTCAGCCCAGCTGGTCAGCCCTCTCCCCGACTAGGTCAGCGGTAACCCCTGCCCCATCTCCAGAATCACCAGGATAAGAGGGCTGTGATGAGGGCAGACCCTAGCAGTGTCTGAGTAGGAACCCGGGGCGGGGGTGGGGCTGGCCTTAGGAAGCCCCCTTGATCCCAGCTCAGATAGGCTTAGATTAGCTTCAGGGCCGCACAACTCATGGAAAGCAACGGCTAATCCCCCAACCTGCTCCTGCTTCCGTTCATGGGGGAAGAGGGGCAGCAGTGGGCAGGGCCCGCACCTCTCACCTTCCCCTGGAGCAGCCCAGCCTGGATCTGGCACCAGGAGCACTGCTGCGCCTGTGACCATGGGGACACCAAGATTGCGGGGGCAGAGCCAGGGAGAGAACAGACCAACACTAACCCCCTGTCTGTGCTCTCCCCCGACCTTCCGGAACAGTCAGGAGAGGAACCTGCTGAGAGGTGAGTGGGCTCAGGAAGGAAATAGACCCAGAGACAGAGCGGGCTCTGCAGGACAGGACCCTCAGCCCACGCCCAGCAGTGAAAGACTATGGGCTTCTGGTACAGACGGCTGCGTAGCCCGCCTGGCTGCAGCTTTCCTTCCCCTGGAGGGTGGACCCAGGACTTGGCAGGCTCTTTGCTGGCACTAGGCACACGATCCTTGCTCTGTTTCTAGATGCTCAAGGTACTCAAAAACCAGGCGTCCCCTTCCCTGCAAGGATGGGCCACTGTCCTACTCTGGGGCTCACTGAGGCAGAAACGGAGCTCCAGGAGCTGTGGCGTCCGCAGCAGCAAGACCTAGAGTTCTTGGTGCTGAAGGCTTGCGGGAGAGTTTTCCCGGTTCTCTCTTGGAAGACCACACGGCTGAGTTGGAATGGAGAAAGAAAGGCCTCTTTCCTGGGGGGTGAGGACACAGCTCAAAGGCTTGAGAGTCCACACACCTATGCCCCAAACGAAGCCCTGCAAGGCTGCAGAGCCCACTCTCAGATGCCACCACTGGGCACAGCTCCCAGGGGCCGAGGGCCATTGCGGTGCGTGGGCTGCTGCTGCCCCCTGGAGGCCACACTGCGCACCAGCAGCCGGAAGGCCCCAACCCCAGGAGGCAGTGGCGGCCTGGGCGTTTGCCACTGACTGCGGGGCCAGTGGTGCCTGGAGATGGGGAAGCAGCGCAGCTTGTGCAGACCCGCGTCCCCAGCTCCACCGACAGCCTTCACAGCATGCAGAGCGGCCACCTGAAAAGGCAAATCCGTGGGTGCCCCACTGCCAACTCATAACCATCCAAGTCCCTGTGGGTACGTCCGAAACCCCAGCACACCCCAAGACGCTCACGGGCTCCCACCACTCTGAACTTCACTGCCCTGGCTCCAGCCACACTTTCCTGCTGAATTTAACTTTTTCTGAGATAAGGTCTTGCTCTGTCACCCAGGCTGGAGTGCAGTGGTGCGATCACGGCTCACTGCAGCCCCCACCTCCTGGGCTCCGGTGATCTTCCCACTTCAGCCTAGCTGAGACCACAGGCGCACACCACCACACTGCTAATTTGTTTTTAAAATGTTTTGGAGAGACAGGGTCTCACTGTTACCCAGGCTGCCCTCAAACTCCTGGGCTCAAGTGATCCTCCCACGTCTGCCCCCAGCGTTGGGATGACCGGCGCGAGCCACCTATCTCTTGAGCGCATCAAACTCCTCTGTGCCCAGGGCTGCCCCTCCCCTTCCTCCAGAGGGTCTCTTCCCAAGATTGACTATTCTGGAACCCCCACTCTGTGGACTTCTCTGGGACAGGCATCCACCTGTGTCTTGTGACCCCTGGTCCTATCAAGGCTGGCTGTGGGCCTCTCGTTCCAGCTCTCTCCCCAGCCTGCGGGCTGAGTCCTTTCACAGGTGAGCTGACTGCTTCAGCAGAGTTCTCACCCTCCCTGCGGGACCCAACACCAGTTTTGGTGCTGGGTTCTAGTGCGGGCATCCCTAGGTCCCAGCGTCTCTGGGACCTGCACAGCTTCCTGAGCACTGTCCCTGCAGCTTTCCTGCAGGAGCCTCCTGGCTCGAGTTCAGCTGCTCCCTCTGGGACCCGAGGGGCTGGCTGGGAACTGGCAGGACACCTCACCACCTAGGCTGACATCACTGATTCTTCAGGCTAGCCTGTATCTGGGTGCAGGCGGCTCAGAGAGGCTGGGAGGCTGAGTGTGTGGGTGAGTGCGTGGGGCGCAGGGCCTGGGGACGAACTCCTGGGAGTTCTGCACCCTCCAGTCTGCTGTCCCGACTGCGGGGCCCAGTGCAGGCCAACAAGGCTCTCCGGCCTCACGTCACTGCACTCTGACCCCAGCTGGGCTGCTGCGGAACCCTGAACAGCAGGTGCTGCCTCCCCGCACGCCCCAGGCCCACCCACCTTGCGCACCGGCTCTGGGATGCGGGACTTGCAGCAGCAGCAGATCAGGCGCACGGCTGCCTCCAGACTCATCTTGTGGCCCACAGAGACGTACAGGGGCCTGGTGCTGCGGTTGTGGCTCTTCAGGGCCTGTGACAAGGAAGGTAAGGGCACCCCTGTGGGCTGGGCCACGAAGACCTGGGTCAGGACAGCCTCAGCGGCTGGAGCTCGGACAGAATGTCCCGGGGGCAGGAGGGAAGCTGAAGGGGGCGGTGCTCTCAGGGCCCAGGGCCTGCCCACCCTCAGGGAGCCTTCCTGCTGCTTGTCCCCGGGACAGGGTGGGCTCCACATACCCCAGGGCTCAGTCTGAGGCGAGAGGATGGACAGATGGGTGGGTGGGGGCTGATGTGTGAGCACAGGTGTGTCTGCATGCAAAGGATCCCCTACCCTGGGCTTTGGGGGGATTAGGGCCCTGGCCACTCACCATTCCCAGGACAGTCCCAGAGCCTCCCAGCAGAGGGAACGAGTCCCCTCCAGCCCGCAGGAGTCGGATCTGGAAAATTGGGGAAAAAATGGGGAAAATACCCCTCTCTTCTTGGTGAAGGAAAGTCTCTTGATTTTGAAAACACAGTCACTGGGCCAGGAAAGGGAAGGGGACTGATCCTGGATGTGAGCCGAGGCCCAGGCAAAGCCATGTGCCCGAGGCGACACGGATCCCACAGGCGGTGATGTGGTCTCGCCCCTGCTCTGAGGGTGCTGCCCACAAGACCCTGTCCAACCCTGACGACAGGGCTTACAGCAAGGGCAGTGATCTGCCCAGAGGCACAGTGCCAGGCTGGCAGCTACACAGGTGCTGCCACTGTGCAGTGAGCAGCGCTGACCCTGCTTCCTTCCTGCGGCTGTCTCCTGCTGTGGACATATCTGACTCAAGCCAACAGGCTGGGATTTCTGGAGGCACAGACTGGCTCAGAGGGAGTCTGAGGTCCCATCGACTCAACAGACTGTTAGTAAGCAACTGCTCTGTGCAGGTACCTGAGAGCTGGGAGGAACGAGACGCAGTCTCTGCTCTCAGAATCTGCTATCCAGTGGGCTGTCACTGGCTGCCTCCATGGGACTCACTCCCAGTGCCAACGTGGGGTCCCAGAGGAGGAAGATGCAGGAGAAGGTGGGGTAGGAGGGGTGTGGGCAGCAGCTCCAGGCAGGCCTTGGTGGAAGTGGGGCCGGGAGGCTGGGGTACCTGAGTACCCAGGTGAGGAGACGGGTTGGGGCCAGGTGGGATGGGGAAAGCACCAAGTGTGCCTGGGACAGCCTGGAAGCCCCTCCAGTCCCCAGTAACTGGAGGACTTAGCCCTACTTGGTGTGCCACAGTGGTTCAGAGGTGTGGGGGACCAGAGAGGCAGGCAAGCCAGGAGGCAGGAGAGGAGCTCAGAGCATCCTTGGCTGAGACACGCAAGGCAGCACCCAGAGGAAAGCGGGTCTTCCTTATTCCAGGCCATGAGCCAGGGGTGAGGAGGGCAGCATCACAGGCAAGGGGCTGGTCCAGAAGCGCCCTCGTGCCCAGGGCCACCGCAGCACCCCCAAGCTGCCAGGGACAGCCTGCCGCAGCCCCTCCTTCTCCCTGTGCAGCGTGGGCTGCAGCAGGCCCTCCTCACCTTCTCCTTGTGCAGGGCGTTGTTCTCCAGCCCGTCCACCTGCAGAAGTTTCTTGGCCACCCCAATGCAAGGCAGGTCTGTAAGGACCCCAAGGTGGCAGGCCATCCCAAAGCCTGCCAGGGAGAAAGGAGGGTGGGGTTGGGGAGGTGGGGCTGGGGCCTGGCGCAGGGATTCAGGACAAGCCAGAATCTCACCAAAAGCTTCCCTAAGTGAGCAGAGGTCTGTGGACGGGCAGACAGCCAGGGAAACCAGACCTAAGCCCCAAGCTGACCTGGGCTAAGGCTCCCTGTGCCCGATTTTCTTGGTGTGGGGCTGGGGAGGAATCCTCCTTCCCTCTGACACGATCAATGCCAGGGTCGGCACCTTGCTAGCGTGCTGGGACACTGCAGCCTGGCTCTGCAGCCATGTCCTGCGCCTCCCAGCCTCCTCTTCCCATGATGGTGTCCTGCTAGTGCCGCCATGGGCATCAGGGTCAGTGCATAACCCCCATGTGTGGGGGCAACAGCCAGGACCCAATCACACCTGCTGGCCAGGGCATCCAGTGCCACCCTCCTGGGTCCCTCTCTGGGTGTTGCTGGCTGTGCCACCCACAGGTCTGTATGCGAGGGCAAAAGAGCCCATCTCCCTCAGCTATGCTCCCTGGGCCAAGGGTCCCTGGCACAGGCGGGGGCCCGGGTGCACCTGTCTAGCTGTGGACAAGGGCTGACAGGCAGATGCAGGGTGGGTGGCCGGCAGGGAAGGCCACTCTGAGAACCTCCTCCTTCTTGTGCAGGACAGCCTGCAGCAGTCCCACGCCTCCCTACACAGCACGGCCTGCAGCAGGGGGCCCAGGCCCTGGGACATCTTGCGGTGATCAGCTGAGAACAGGGTAGTGGCACCTGGCGATGAACCAGCGAAGGGCAGGGCACTGTAGGAAACGCAGGGGCGGGCAGGCAAGAGGTGCGATGAAGCGAAGGCAGGCAGTCCTTTCCCGGGGGGAGGGCACTGCGAGTCCCCACTATGCCCAGAAAGGAGCAGCTGGAGGTGGGCGGCGGCAGAGTCCGAGGGCCCAGCGTTTTGTGTGGGAGATGACAAAGGTGCCCTCTCCCCCATCTCTTCCCCACAGCGCCCTCCCTGGACTGCTTTCGAGAGCAGAATTACCTCGGTGGTGGAGCACCCCATTTCCATCCACGAGAAGGACCTAGAGTCAGGGGGGAGTCACGGTCAGCTGAGCTGCCCTTTAGCCCTCAGGCAAGGGCCATCCCTCAGGCAGGAAGGCGACACTGTCTCTGGAGTTCGGCTTTCTAGAAATCCTCATTCCTCTCTTCCAGGAAGCTCATGAGTCTCTCCCTGCCATGGCCAGTGGTGGCAACCTGCAGCCACCTTCCCCTCCCCAGGGAGGATGGGCCTTTCTCTTGTCCTAGGGATGAGACACCTGCCTGGGGCATGAGGTCCGGCTCCTTCTCTTGCAGCTGCCGCACAAGCTCCAGCAGGAAGGGCACCTCTCGGAAGGCCAGGAAGCCTGACACGTAGGGGGCTGTGAGGCTGACCATGCGGCTCTCCTCATACACCACCTGCCACCAGGCACGCAGCTCAGCAGGCAGCGCAGCCCTCAGCCACCCACCCCACCCCCACTCCCTCCAGCCTGCCCCTGCTCTTCATCCTTCCCTCTCCCCAACCTCACCCTGATGGCTCCCCTTCCCTGCCTCACCTACGAGACATTTAGAAGGAACTAGAAGATGTACCCTGCAAATTGGTGGTGGGCAGGTATCCCTGTGACCTGGTCCATAGGAGCAGGCACTTGGGACCTGGTCTGTAAGGGGGAGGCCACTGGAACCGGGTCCATATGAAACCCCTCCCACTCACCCCCAGACCTGGTTGATTGGAGGAGCCCCTCCACCCCCAGGACCTGGTCCATATGAGGAGCCCGCACTCCAGAACTGCAGTGCATTCCCTCCACCCTCAAACTGGTCTGTAGGAGAAGCCTCCGGGACCTAGTCTGTAGGAAGATTCCCTGGGATATGGCCTGTAGAAGGATTCCCTGGGATCTGGTCTGTAGGACAACTCCCAGGACCTGGTCAATAGGAGGATTCCCTGGGATCTGGTCCATAGGAGGATTCCCTGGGATCTGGTCTGTAGGACAACTCCCAGGACCTGGTCAATAGGAGGATTCCTGGGATCTGGTCCATAGGAGCCCCCCAGGACCTGGTCTCCAACAGAAGCAAGGCTAAGATTGCTGGCTGCATCACCCCTGCCTGTCCCTTGCTCTCCTGCTGTCTCTTTGTGTATTGAAGCTGACACTCCACCCCACCTCTCCATGGGGCTGCTGGAGGCTTAAAGAAGACAGTGCGGCCGGGCGCGGTGGCTCACGCCTGTAATCCCAGCACTTTGGGAGGCCAAGGTGGGCGGATCATGAGGTCAAGAGATCGAGACCATCCTGGCCAACACTGTGAAACTGTCTTACTAAAAATACAAAAAATTAGCTGGGTGTGGTGGCGCACGCCTGTCGTCCCAGCTACTCGGGAGGCTGAGGCAGGAGAACTGCTTGAACCTGGGAGGTAGAGGTTGCAGTGAGCCAAGGTCGTGCCACACTCCAGCCTGGAGCCTGGTGACGGAGTGAGACTCTGTCTCAAAAAAAAAAAAAAGAAGACAGTGCAAGAAAGCACCTGTATGCAGTGCAACGTGAACGAAGGCATTATTGAGTTTACATGAGGCGGGGCCTTGGGGGACGGCCATGTCTTCCAAGGGGTCTCGAGAGCAAGGCAGGCCACAGGGGCTTTATGAGGAGCTTTCAAACAACTCAGAAAGAGGACAGGCGCGATCTCAGGGCTAGACAATCGAGAGTGAACAGGGGTCCCCAAGGGGCAGGACAGTCTAAAAAGAAAAACCCTAAGGCTGCAAATAATCCGAGAGAAAGGGGAGGATGGGTGGCACAGAGCCCTCTGGATGGCAAGTGGGACGCTCAAACGCACAGCGCAAGCTGCGGAGGTGTGGAGGGCTGGAGGGAGGTCTGGAGTCAGGGACCCAGGTGGTCAGGGGCTTTCCGGAATTGCTGCAGACAATCCAGAGAGCTGTAGAAAGCACAGTCATCTTGCTTAGAGCCTCTCTGGCAAACTGTTTTTCAAATTAAAAACCACGTGGCCAGGCAGGGTGGCTCACGCCTGTCATCTCAGCACTTTGGGAGGCCCAGGTGGGTGGGTCACTCAAGACCGGGAGTTCGAGACCAGCCTAGCCAACATGACGAAACCCTGCCTCCACCAAAAAATGCAAAAATTAGCCGGGCGTGGCGGTGCGTGCCTGTAGTCCCAGCTACTCGGGAGGCTGAGGCAGGAGAATTGCTTGATCCTGGGAGGCGGAGTCTACAGCTTAGAACACAGCACAGCGGGCCTGAGTCTCCTAACCTTGTGCTTTCCTTAGTCACACTGGCCTTATGTGGAGAAACGTTTCTCACTATGCCCATGTTCCCCAGAGCTGTCTACCTCGCTAGTGTCCTTACTGACTCCCCAAACCTCTTGGTGACAGCTTTCAAATCACAACTTCCATTCCTTCCTGTGACTCCATCAATAATTAAACATACCAGAGAAAACTGAGCACTCTGTATTAGCATAGAGGTTTGGGGCTTTCTCTCAGTATTTTTACCAATGACTCAATAGGGAAACCGATCAAATCTGCCTATGACCCCAAGTGGGGAGGGTCCATTCTGCTAACAGATTTTGGATTCACGGTGAACCCGGCAGGGTGGATCCTGACATCCCCACACAGCAATATGACTTTGCACAGTGACACATGTGGAATTCAAATGTGGCCTGAGTTCCCACAGGAGGAGGGTGGCTGCTGATGTCTGAATCTCTCCCATAATGTCATAATTCAGGTCACATTATGGGATGATTATGATTTCTAGTCAGTATGATAATGACATGCGGTTGTGTAGGAGAATGCCACTCTCAGGACAGGCCTGCTGATGTCTTCAGAGCTCAGCAGTCAAAATCGCTGGGACATATGGTGAGAGAGAGAGAGAGAAAGAGAGAGAAAGAGAGAGAGAGAGAGAGAGAGAGAGAGAGAGAGGAAGCAGCAGCAGGTGAATGTAAGTAGAAGGAATACAGGTGGCCAATGTAACCTTTTTCAAGTTTTTGGCATGTCTGTATATTTTCAAGTTAAAAATCTGGGAAGACAAAAATCACTGAGTAGTGTGTGGGCAGGCCCGGATGGCCAGCAATCTCAACGTACACCAGTGACCTGGTGCCCCCTCAAAAGCTCCCTGCTTTCAGCTGCACCGACTGAAATGGTGTGGATGAGTGTTAGGTCTAGGGACTTGGGTAGACGGTATGAGTTCCTGCATTTGATTCTGAGTGCCACAGGTAAAGATGGACCCTGAAAATGGAGGGCATGACCAGAGGGCCGTTGGCCAGTGAAGAAGCTAGATATCACTGCAGCCTCTTGGGATGGAGCAGGGAAGGAGCATGCAGTTGTTTCCAGCAGCGGGAGGGCTGACAAGCAGAAGGTGGGGAAGATCTGTTGTTTTGCTACCTGAAGGCAGAAACGATCAATGGGAGTCACAGACAAGCAGGGGTCAGCACACACTAGCCACCGCTCAGCGCCCAGCATGAACAGGCTCCACTGAGAGGCCATCGTTTGTCAGGGATGCTAAGGAGAACGTTCTGCACGGTGGCAAAGATGGGCCAGTGGTTCTCCAACCCAGCTTCGCTTCAGAATCACGGGGAAGCTTATTTTGAAAAGCAGATTCCCAGGCCATACTCTGGAAGAGTTTTTCCCCCAGTAGGTGGGGTAGGGCTCTGGAATCTATTCTTCTAGAAGCTTTACTGAGAAACAATTTATATATCATGAAGTTCACTTGTTTAAACATATAATGCAATGGTTTTGGGATTTACAGAGCCTTCCATTATCACTGTAATCTAATTTCAGAACATTTTTCTTAACCCCAAAATAAACCTCATACCCGTCGGCAGTCACTTCCCATCCATCCCACCCCAAGTCCAAGGCAGCCACGGATCTACTTTGTCTTTGAGAACGTGCCCATGGAATCTGTTTTTCAACACACTTCCGGGTGATTCTGCTCCTGCAGGTTCGTGCTCAGGCATTCAGGAATCAGTGGACCAGACTCTTCCAAGATCCTTTCCTAGTCCAAGTTTTCATAGTTGGGAAAACCAATGCCAACGAAGTAGCAGGCGCTTTGCTTGGTGCTGCTGTTGCAAAAGAAATACAGTACAGCCCTCCCCTAGAGAACTTCCAGCCAAGGGAAAAATGGAATCGTAAACAATTAACTTTAATACAATGCCAGAAGTGCTATAACAGCACATGCATTAAAAAGAGGCCCAGGATGCAGATGAGAGGTTGATAGCTCGCAGCCAGGAAAAGTTGGAGGGGAAGGGAATGCTGTGTTAATTGCTTTCTGTGCGTTTCAAGTGTTGCTCATCATCACTCAGTGAGCTGCACATTAATACCACTATCATCCTCAACTTAGAAACACAGAGAGAGAGGCCTAGAGGGTAAAGTGGGAGGTGGGAGGGCTGCGTGTGAGCAGAAGCAGTCTGGCTCCTCAGACTGTGCTCCCACCCCAACGCCAGCCTATAAAATGGCCAGGAGACCTCTTAGGGTAGGGATTGTGAATATCCCAATCTTAGCACACAGTAGGCACTCAATACATTTTTGCTCAATTTAGCCTGAAAGGGGCCTCCCAAGTAAAGCACAAAGCTATGGAAGCAGGAAGATGTGTGTCATCTTTAGGAGCTGGCAGAGGGGCAATGAAAGGGAAACACTGGCGCCAAGAGGCTTCTGTGTCAAACTCTGCTGCTGCCAAGGCTTCCGGGGCTGTCGACTCTTACGTAAATCACAAGCCCACCGTCCATTCACGCACATATCTACTTAAGGAAGAGTCCGGCATCTTCTGCATGCTGCCCGTGGTGGACAAAACAACATGGTTTCTACCATCACGGAGTTTACATTCCAGCAGGGAAGACAGGCAGGTGAATTCCATTCCAGTGAGATAAAGAGGAAGCAGAAGGTTGCTATAGTCTAAACGTTTGTGTCCTCCCCAAATTCATGTGTAGAAATTATATCCCACGAGGCGGCGGTATTAAGAGGTGAGGCCTCTTGGGAGGTGAGTGGATCAGCATGTGAGAATGCAGTTAAGAAACTGGCCGTGTGGAACCTAGAAGAGTGCTGGCACCCTGATCGCGAGCTCCCAGCCTCACAACTGTGAGAAATAAATTCCTGCTGTGGGTAAGCCACCTAGTCTAAGGTATTCTACCACAGCAGCCCATGCGGACTAAGACACAGTGCTGAGGGGCAACGCCTGGTCTTGTGGGATGAGCGGGAGCTTAGCGGAGGAAGTAATGTCTAAACTGAGCCCTTATGAGTAGGAGTTAGCCAGATGGAAACCCCTCCAGGAGTGGAAACATTACTGCAAAGGTCAGGTAGCCAAATACAGCATGGCACACGTTTGAAGGGTTCAATGTGGGCTGTAGGGGGTGGGAAGAACTGAGAATGGTGGTGAAAGCTGAGCCTCTTATTAAATTAAGCAGGGACAGTTCATAAAGAGCCTTAAGCCATGGCAATGACAAGTGAACTTTATTTAGCATGAGGTCATGAGAAAAGCACTTAAATGTTTTTGAGAGGACTTGTGGGCTCACGCCTGGAATCCCACCACCTGGGGAAGCCAAGGTGAGAGGGTCCCTTGAGCCCAGGAGCTGAAGACAAGCCTGGACAACATAGTGAGACCCTGTCTCTACAAAAAATAGAAAAGCCGAATGTGGTGGCTCACACCTGTGGTCCTAGTTACAGGAGGCTAAGCGGGGGGATCACTTGAGCGCAACAGGTTAAGATCAGATCTTGGCAGTGAGCCAAGATCATGCCACTGCACTTCAGCCTGGGCCAGGGTGAGACCTTGTCTCAAAAAACTAAAAAAAGAGAGACAGAGAGAGAGAAAGAAAGAAAAAGAGAAAGAGAGAGAGAGAGAGAGAGAAAGGGGGGGAGGAAGGGAAAGGGGGACTTGTTGCTTTTGAGGAAATACTTGCTTTTTAGGAAAATCGGTCTGCTGGCAGTATGGAAAAGAAACCACTGAGGAGAAGCGCTTGAGGCAGGGCACCCATGAAAATGCTGCTCAGGAACCCACAGGAGTGACGGTGGCACAGCCAGGCAAGGAGCAGAGGGCAGACAAGAGGACAGATCCCAGCGACATTTAACAGGCAGAAAGAAAGGGAGCTAAGTGCGCGACTGGACGTGAGAGGAAGGGAGGGGCCCAGGAGGACACAGATTTCCAGCTTGGGCAAGTTGGGGTGTGGTGTGTAGGTCACTGAGATGAGAGCCCAAGACAACCATCAAACTTGGAGGTAAAGCTCATGAGCCGATTCTTAACTCACAGAATTCCCTTAGTTTTTTGCCTTTTTTCTTCCAAGACTCCCCAGACTATTAATGACACCCTACAAAACGAGAAGCGGGTTCTAGGCCTGCACTGCTCCCTGTCCCGGAGGCCCCACGCCCGAGCCCATCGAGGGGCCGCCTCGAGCTCGGCGTCCTCCCGGGTTACCTCGAGCTCAGGGTAGCTGAGCACCACCAGAGAGGCACAAGCACGGACACTGTCCCCTTTCACGAAGGACACGTCAACGCCCCCGACCCTCCGCAGACCCGAGAAGGCGGGGTCCCGCTGCCACGCCTCGGTGTCCCGGTCTACGACGCGAGCCTTCAGCCGAGCTTGCTCCCTAGGAGGACAGAAGCGTCAAACCCAGCCGGGGCCACACCCCAGACTCTGCCTTCTCCACCTGCGCGGCCAAACGCCTCTGCCCGGTCTTCTCCAGCTTCAAGGGAAGGCAAGTGATACACCTGCGAGGCCACACTCCCCGGAGATCGGTGGGCGGAGATCACGGCACGCGCACGCCCAACAAGCGTGGCCGGAAGCGAGAACCGCGCCCACCCCGCGGACTACAACTCCCGAGGACCCTCCGCTCCCGCGCCGGAAGCTGGGCTGCGCTCGGGAGCCTCGGGCGGCGGCCACCGCTCCGACTCCACAGCCTGAAGACTACGAGCTCGGAGGGTCTGCGGAGAGCCGCGCGGCCTCAGCGCCCGCCTCCTGCGCGTCGCCCGCAGCATTACCGTTTCCACAGTGACAGCGTTTCCTCCGACAGCGACCCAGCTGTCTCCTGGGCCATTGCTCCGTCCCGGGCGCCCCTTCCACACGTCATTTCCGGAGGCGACTCGCGCATGCGCTGTTCTCCTTCGTTGCCGTGGAGACGCCGGCGCTTTCCCGGGCCGCACATCCAGCCGAGGGCTTCAGAAGCTCGTGGCCAGTAGGCGGGAGCCACTGCGTGATTGGACGCGCACGCACATGCACATGCACACGGCTTCGAGTTGCCCGGCGGCCCCGCGCCCGTTATCGGCTCGGACCCGGGAGCCCGTGATGCGTGTCCCGCCTCTGCAATCCCTGCGGCGAGCGCTGTGCTCTGCGCGGCCAGGGGCCGCTCGCCCTGTTGAGAGCCGTCGTGCACGGCCCCTCCGCTCTTGGAGAAGGCCGGTCCAGCTCTGCCGGTCCCACTCCTCCACCCGGCCAGCGTCCGCCTTTGGCGAATCCCGAAAGGACTTGTAAGGTTTATTCTCTGTGAGGTCTATTGCCGAGTGTAAAATGAGGACACGGAGGCCTGCATGAGAACAATTAGACGCCAATTTATTCGGCTCCCGGGCGAGGTTCTATGGCCCAGGGAAAGGGGTCAGAGAAGTCGCGCCTGACGTGTGGTTATATAGGGAGCGAGGGCGCTCTGATTGGCTGTGGAGAAACAGGACGTAGACGTGGCAAGCAGCTATAGGTAGGTAGGCGGGATTTCCGGTGAGCGGGCTGGATGGGGCAATAGCTATTGGGCAGGTCTTGGCGGGGCTTCTTTTAAATTTTGGGCGGAGTTTTCCAACGGCTGGCTAGGTGCCGAGTGCGGGGTTTAGTGTTGAGTGCAGAGGTGGGCGTGGCGAAGCTAGATACTGAGCGCAGATTCTGGTGACGTAATTTCAGGCGTGGCGAGGGATGGGCGTGCCCGAGGTAACCGGCCTTGCAGGACTCACCAGGCCCGGGACGTCCCGGCGGCTACCGAGCGCCTGTCGCTGACGGTCCCCGCGACGGCAGCCCAGGGGTGCCCTCAGGCTTTTGAGGGCTGGTCTCGTGTGTTTCAGTTCCTCGCAGCGGAGCGGGCTGGACTCGTGGCGGGGAGCGGGGCTCCAGCCTTGTACTGGGTTTCGTCTGGGCTGGACTTGGGTCAGAAGGTCTCCCCGACCAGACCAAGCACGGGCGACCTCGGGGGTGTCGCTTCTCGCCTCGTGCTCCTCAGCCAGTGCTGGCCCAGTGCTCTCGCTGTGCCAGGTGCTGCGCGAATACTGTGAGGGAGAATGTTATTTGCGGGGAGCCGACTTCCGACCGTGGCTGGGAAAGGCCTTAATGAGAGGCAGTACTGAAGGGGCGTGGAGGGTGAGCGAGGGGGCGTGGCGGGGCAGGAGGGGCGGGGCAC